CTTATCTTGAATGTACTTTCGTAAGGATGTAGAAGTTTAAATTGAAAATGAATCCTCTTAAATGTGCTTTTGGTGTGATATCCTGAAATTCGACCATTTTCAAAATATATAAAATGATTATTTCATTGATGCACTGTTGGTTAAATCTCGCTCTGAATTGATCAGGACTAACCAATAGGGAAATGCTATTAAGGAATTAAGTACGCACGACCCGAGAATTCGATCATGGATTGACAATTCGATCATAAAGATTAACGAGGGACAATTTCAAGCCATTATAAACCGATGAAGGAACGGTTATAGAATGATTCGCCGATAGTATACAATCGGATCGCAAGTGATTCCGTCTGACCATTGTATGGATTGCGAATGACCCTAAACTAATTCTTAATGATCGTGTACTTCGGAACTAGCGATTGACTCCTTGCAATTACATGACAATCGAGGTCACCCATGACTCGAGAAAGCTTAAACATGGTTGATATCAAATCAATCACGGGTCAAATACGCATAACTCCTAAAAGCCGCCCGTTAGTTTGAGATATACTAAAGTCGCAATTGATCGATTTTGACCATGAATTAGAATCCGAATTTGGGTATCGAACTTTTAAGGATTTCAAGTCTAACCTATTGGACGTCGCCTTGTTAATCTTCCGATTTATCGGTTTGCTCGAAACTCTCGGAAAAGGAAGTTTTGGGCTGAGAATTGGAGCCCACGAGAAAGTGAGCCGAGCGAAGGCCCATTGGGCCTCATGCCCAAGGTGCTTCGGCCATTGGGCCCAAACAAGTCACCATTTTCAAGCCCAAATAGCAAATTTAAGCCCAATTTGAGCCCGTAAACTTTTCAAGCCCATTTCTATTCAATTAGGTCCATTTCAAGGCCCCATCTCTTGACTTTGGCCCAAGGGCAAAATGGGAGATTTGTGCCAAAATGTGAAATGACCAAAATACCGTTCTTGCATTATTGAACAAAGAGACAAAGCATTGATGAGTGAAGACTTTGGGGAAGTTGCATTGATGATGAAGACTTTGGGGAAGAGATAATATCTCCCAAACTCTCTCTCGTCTCTCATTTTCCATGTCTCTCTCTCTCTCTCTCTCTCTCTCTCTCAAATCCGGCCCCCTCTCTCCCTCTCTCCCTCCTTCGGCCACCAGCAGAACCGCCCCCCCTTGGCCGTTATTTTACTACCGTGGAGCCACGACCACCGCCCGCCGAGCGCCGTGACCGCCCATCGCCTTGCGCTGTTCGTCCGAGCCGCTTCCGTCGCCGGTTCGCCTTCACCGTAAGCCCAAATCAGCCCCACAGAATCTGCTAAGCTGCTGTCCAGCCATCGTCGCCACCTTGTGTCGTTTCCGGACCGAGCCACGCATAGCCCTCGCTGCCGTCGTTGAGACCGTGTTGTCGGAATCATTAATGGGTGAGTTAACGCTCCAATCCTTCGATTAGTACGTTAAACTTACTTAGGATTAGTTTATATTAAGTTAATTAGGTGTTTAGTGATTAATGATGATTAATTAGTTGATAGGTTATCAACTAGCGATAGGTTATCGGAAAGTTGGATGATAAGCTATCGCTAATTAGGCGATAAGCTATCAAAGTTTTGGTGATAAGCTATCGCCAAATAGGCGATAGGCTATCGAGGAAATGATGATAAGCTATCGTAAAAGGAAGATAAGTTATCGGCAAAAGGGTGATAAGATATTGTCAAAAGGACGATAAGCTATTGTTATTTGAATGATAAGCTATCACCAATTAGGTGATAAGATATCGATAATTTAATGATAAGCTATCACCAAGAGGCAATAAGCTATCAATATTTGGATGATAAGTTATCGCAATTAGAGCGATAAGTGGATTTTATATTGGGCGTTTTCTGCTTGAGTTAAGTGTTGAATTATGCTCGTTTGATGCTGTTTAATGCCTACTTTGCCCTGATAAATAATTGCCCTATGTGAAACCTTGTTATTTAATTTTTAAAAGGATTTTTGTGGATATATAAATAGTAAACCCCGAGGTGTCGGGTTTATATGTCAAATTTTATAAGTTAAATAGGGCAATGATGTTTAAAAAGGGAAGCATGCAAAGTTAGCAAGGATGGAATATTTGAAATGGAAGTTAATCCAACAACCAAAGTATTTGAGAGGTTTTATGTGGGGTTTGTAGAGTTCAAACGTGGGTTTTTAGCGGGATGTAGGCGTGTCATAGGCTTGGATGGGTGCTTTCTTAAGACTGGATTGAAAGGTATGTTGTTGTGTGTTATTGGACGAGATGAAAACAATCAAATGTTTCCAATAGCTTAGGCAGTTGTCGAAGTTGAATCCGAGGCATCTTGGACTTGGTTTCTCACTCTATTATTCAATGACTTGATGGTGGGCAGAGGCAAAGGTTGGACTTTCATCAGCGATCAGCAAAAGGTAATATCTAACCTTTTGTCTTTGTTGCTTGTTACACAACACTAGTGCAATCATTGATGTCACTTGTTTGCTTTTTATTGGCTAATTTGGTTATAGGGACTAATGAATGCAGTTTCATGGCTAGCTCCACAAGCAGAGCATCGAAATTGTGCAAGACACATATATGCTAATTGGAAAAAATTGCACAAAGGGGATGCTCTTAAGCATCTCTTTTGGAGGGCTATGAGATGTACATTTCAAGCTGATTTTGACCTAGCAATGGCAGATTTGAAGATGGAGTGCCCTAAAGGTTACGAAGACTTCCTGAGGCAAGGCCCTGAGCACTTTTGTAGGGCTTTCATCAAGATAGGAACTAAGTGTGATGCGGTTGATAATAACTTAAGTGAGACCTTCAATGGATACATTTGCATACCAAGAGAAAAACCCATACTTTAGATGCTTGAAGAAATAAGAACAATGTTGATGGAGAGGATGGTAGAGAGAAGTGAGTTAATGGTTGATCGAACAGATCCTCTTTGCCCAAGGATTAGAATGAAGTTGGAGAAAACTAAACTGGAGTCTAGGAATTGTATTGCTAGCGCTGCAATGGACAATAAATTTCAGGTTGAAGTGTATGATGATAAATTTGTGGTTGACTTGAATGGGAAGACTTGTGCTTGTAGGGAATGTGATATCTCCGGAATACCATGTAAATATGCCATATGTTGTATTACTTTCATGAAGTTAGATATCAATGATTATGTTGATGATTGTTTCAAAAAAGAAGCTTATGAAAGATGCTACCAATATCCCTTCCCAGCCATGAATGGAAAAAGAATGTGGCCCCAAGTTAGTGGTGAGCCAATCAAACCCCCACCTTACAGAAGAAAAAAGGGGGAGAGAAAAAAAAAAAATAGAAGCAAGGACAAGGATGAGCAAAGTAGCGATAGTAAGAAATTGTTGAAAGTTGGAGTCCAAATGCGATGTACAAACTGCCTTCAATATGGGCATAACGAGAAGACATGCAAGAATCCTACAACATCAAGGCTACCCAAAGTAAGTCTTATTCGAAAATTGTGTAATTTTTAAAGAGATTTTTTTTGGTTATATTGATTGATAACATTAGTATTTCTTTACCTTACAAAAAAAAAAACATTAGTATTTCTTTTGTTTTTTCTTATGTAGGCCAAAAGAGGAAGACCAAAGAAGGCTATTGATGCACAGACCAGTGCACAGGCCAATGTACAATCTAACAGCGACTCTACTATCATTAGGAAGGAGATGGCACAAGTTAGTTTTTAGACTTATATTATTTTCACAGAATGTGTATATTGTGATTAACATTTTTATGCTCATTTTGTATCTTCAGGCAAGACAAGGTTATGGACTTTTCATGTCTGAAACCTCTGGGAATTCATATTTAAGGGTAATCTCTTTGTCTAATGTTTTTTTATGTATGTTGAAAAGAAATGCAAATTGACGTGTTGATTTTTTATCCACTTCAGATGCCTGGTAGTGATAGAGTTATTCACGTTGGAGGTCCATCAATCTCCAACGGACAAACAATAGCAAGAAATGTTCAAATTTCACCGGGCCACTCTTCAATTGATATCTCAGAACCTCCGCACACTCAAGAATCTGGAATTGGTGGACTGTGAAGTTGGTTCGAAAAATATTAGTGCTACTGATACATGAGGATGTTGACCTGTAGATTGAAAAGGGCAGTTTTTGTGGTGTTTGTATGTGGATTTGACAATGTAGTTTTGTATTAGTGATGTTTTGGTAATGTACAGTGTTTTTTTTTTTGGTAAGGTGGTAATGTACTGTGTTGAGTCGTGCATAACACAAAAATCCTTTTGCTGGTTGTTTTGAGTTCCATATGAATGAATTGACCATTATAAGTGGTTTTTTGAAGAGTAAACTTCCAGTTAGGTATCTTGACTTGTCTTTGATTTATGCAAAGCTTAGTGATAGAGATTGTAAGTCTTTAGAAGTGCGGTGTAGAGCAAATTCCTTGGAGTCTAGCGCTTTCAAGCAAGCCAGCATGTTGCTGACCATGTTATTGTCTGAGGCTTATAGCACAGAGAAGAACGATGTTTGCTTGACGCATGGCTTGGCAAGCCATGCCTGATGTAGTGAACTCGCCAACTAGTGTATGTCTTTCTTCTCTTTACGTCATTTCTTCTTTGGGATTTTCACGTTATAATGTTAGCAATGAGGCAAAATTTAGTTTAAGAGGCAGCTAATTCCTCCTCTTTCTAAACATTGGGTCATTTTGATCTACATCTACACTTAACCATGGCTTCAATGAGGCACCAATTAATGATCGCTCAATGACCTCTTATCAGGTCAAGCACATGCCGATGTTGTTGATCAAAATAGACATTTATTTCATGGTTTCGAAATCACCACGATAATTCGAAGTGATATGTAATGTGCTTGGGTTCCATATTCGGTCATATCAAGCTGGTTCAAGATTTGGGTCAAATATTTTCTATTTTACATAACAAATTTTGTATCATCAGAACTTACTAATGTTTTAGATATATTATTGATGATTGATAAGTACATACTTTCTTACCAAGACAAAAATTGAATACCTGAAATGAAAAAAGCTACCTATGGTCATTTTTGTTAAAATAGATAACGAGTTTACAAAAATAGCCCATCTTTCCCCCTCCACAACGCCAACTCTACAATGGCTGACAAACGGTTCAAGTGAACTAATAGTTGCAAAGAGAAATTCTCAGAAAATAAACATTTACAGCAAGCAATGTTGCACCATCCAACCAACCTTATAAATCATTAACACAATTAAAGCTTCCACCAATACAAGTATAACTCTAACACGTGTCTTCTCCTTCGCTTGCATTCTCATAATATCATTCTGTAAGCCATTGTTCAATTGATTCTCCACATTTTGCAGCCTCTCCTTCAATGTCTCATTATCATTCATCAGTTGGCAGATGACTTATTTCTCTTGTATTGTCAGATAAGGATCAATCCATTTTAAAAATCCACAATCATCAACCTGTCAAAACAAAGTAATACTTTTTTACAAGTTTAGATACAACATTGTTCAAAATTGCTAAAATTATAACTAACAAACATGGCTTTACTTCTGATATGAATGACTGCATAAAGCAGTTATAAATTACTTACCCTCCATGTTGAATGGTGAAATAGTCTCCTTATAGGATTTCTTGGGGTCCGCAGGGTATAGAGGGTTGCTCGTCGCTATTGCTTGCATGAAACGTTACAATTGTCACTCATGAATTGACTCAATGCTCTGCCGCCACTGTTAGAACCTCCATTCTACGTTGATTTACATTCAAAAATAGGAGCAAACTACTAATCTAATACCCACTCGCTGAACTTTAATTTTAATAGATTTACAACCACTTAACCTCAATCTAACATCATTTGCATGAGATCCACTTCGCACAAAGCTCTCCATGGTGACTAGCATTGGTTTTCTCTGTCAAATCACTCTTTGCCAATGGAGATATACTTTGAAACATCTGGACAATCAACCTCTTGAGCAACATGCATAGATAAGTCTTAGCTATGGTCAAATGGACATGTTTCAGAGACGTATACCCTCAGTTTAAATGTGCAATAGTCAATCAATCACTAAAATGTAAGAGCCCTTTTAAAACTTGAACACTGATTCGTTTGGGCATTTTAACAAACATGTGGAGGTTAGTTTGAACAGAAGGCATAAATGAAGCATCAAAACGTCGTCTAATTCCAAACTGTCACAGCAACATCAATGTGTGTTTATATTACTAATAAATTCAGAATTAGAGACAATTTTCTCACAAACCTTAACCCTAGTTCTCGACCTCAAGAGAGAATAAATCAAGAAGTATTTCAAACGATCAACGCATCAGAATGAAGTCATCCAGATCATGCAAGTATCACCAAATTTGATTAATAACACAGGCAAATTGACACTAAAATCACAAAGGCAAATCATCGAACACATTGAGTGCATCTTGGCAAAAGGCAATACAGAGCAAGAACAATTATGCAAGAACCATCATCTTATCCAATATATAAAGTCTATGATCAACAAATTTCAAAATATCATGTTCACAACCGAGAGATGTCCGAGCGACTCGAGCCTAGGAGCGCAAGAGATAGGGGACTCTGAGCGCAAGAGATGGAGGACTTGGAGCGTCTCGAGCCTGGGAGCGCGAGAGATGGAGGACTTGGAGCGTCTCGAGCCTGGGAGCACGAGAGATGGGGGACTAAGAGCACGAGAGATGGAGCAATGAGCGCCATGGAAGATTCGACCGAGATGAAAGAGAGAGGAGACATATGAAGAAGAGATAGTAATTGAAAAGCCAAACCTAAAGCTCATCCAAGAAGACGTCATTTTTGTAAAGAATATGTCCATGTCAGCTTTCCATGGTAAATTTCATTGATGACATGGAAATTCCATGTAGGATCATTAATGGCCATATTGGACGAAAAGTTAAACGGTGGAAAATTTGGGACAAAAGTAAAAGTTTGGAGTTTTTTACGAGACAAAAAAAAATTTAAGGTATAATTGGGACAAAGCCTAAAGTTGGGGGTTTTTCAGTTTAGGTCCACAACTTGTCTATCGGTCATAATCACAAACAGATGACTCTTTTGTCACACCCCAAAACAACTAGAAAAGGGGGATGACACGGCCGTCCTTCCACACGAAGGACGCAGCCTCAACAATAACCAACAACCTGTTGTCAATATATATATCTCAAACCACATATATATCAGATAAACCAACGGGTTGGTTATAACATCAGAGTTTCTATAATCCACCAAAAGAACATGTACATCAAGAACTCATCCAACCTGACGAACTATCAACAATCTTACAACCAACTCCAAAAAATCATACCCAAAAATCTAACTCTCAAACGTCCCCGCGATAACGCTCTCGTACTAATGGTCGCTAGTCGAGGAACCTGAAAAGATTGGGAAAGAGAGGGATGAGCAACTACAGCTCAGTGAATAGTACATCTCTTCTAAGTAGATCGAGCAATCACTATACATGTGTACAAAGCAATACCAAAAATTCAGAAGTCAAACTCAAGGTTTAAAATACATATAGAATCACATAAGAGTTGTTTCATTTCATCAAAGATTTGTACAAGTCACAAATACACATTTAAATTCACCATCACAATTCAAACTATCAATGATCAAGTCTATTGATCAATCTCTATAAAAACCACGTCAATGGTCCATTCCATTGACTAATTTCAAATCACACATCAACGGTCTATTCCATTGATGAATCTCATATCACATCACACGTCGATGGTCCATTCCATCCACTAATTTATTGCTCAATATCAAACTATGGTCACGACATAAAGTCTTGTGACAAGGCTATCAAGATTCCCCCCCTTGGCAAGGTCTCCACTTACAAAGCCGGTGGCTCGGCCTAAAAGGATATCCTAAATCGGTATGCATACCCCGAAACCCCTCAATGGGTTTATAGCGATATTGAGCATAAAACACACATCCTCCAATACCAGGAATCAAATCCACAATCAATATCACTAATTAATTTCACAAAACAAAACACATAATCTTTCTCAACTTCGTTCGTCAAACCAAACGCATTTTACAAGACATTTCTCACATCATTTCAAAATTCTTCATAAATCAATATGTATAACCTTTAACAAAAGAATTCTTTTCATAAAGAATTTCCTCAATTCATTTCACGATAATCAATATATAAGCCATTTCCAGAAATGTTTTACCATACCATTTTCAAATAATCAACAGGGTAGTAAATGCCCGATCCGAGCTTTTATGCAATAACAATGCTATTTAACTCATAACATATCTGATTCATATCATTTTCAAAATATGAGTTTACAAACTCAAAGAAGAGATAACACCACTCACCTCGGAATACTAGAAACCAACAACACGCAGTTAAACAAGTCGACGATCTCGTAATCCTAACAATTAAATGAGAATCGACGTCAAAACCAAGTAAAATACTACGATAACTATGCAACGGCTAAAGTAAGCTTAAACGCTAGCTAAAAGACTCCTACATGCTAACAAAACTCACAACCGAAACGGCTATTCAAAATTATCCGCAACGCGAAACTTGATCGTGCCATAAATTTTTCCTTCGAACTCCGATCCTAGCAAACTTATAGTCAAAAGAAAGCCTGTTCAGAGTATTACAAAAGCCCTAGCTTGGCCGCCCCAAAATCGAGCCAAAAATCGATGAAATAAGGCCTGAAGGCTGCCGGACGTGTACTGTTCACTTCACGCGGAAAACTTCAAAAATTCGTTTCGGGCAAATGGTAAGTCCAAATCAAGATCCGTAAAATCCCACATCTCCACAACACCTTAAACTACCAATTCTATATACATACGTAGCTCAACAACTCAAAAATCGGACTTCGCGGCTTGAATTTCCCAAAATTCCGAATTTAAACCATAAATTTGAAAACTTCTCCGATCGGATGAACGAGGGGTGCGAGTGCTTACCGAGTGTTGAAATACGAAGTCAAATTGACTAGGCAAGGTTCGTTCGGCACAAAACCCTCTTTTTCTTCTTCTTCTTCTTCTTCTTCTTCTTCGCTCTTTCTTTCTTTTCCTTTTTCCCTTTCTCAGCTGAGCATGCTCTCGGCTTAAATGAGCTTCTTCTTCTTCTTCTCTTTTCGTCTCTTTCTTTCTTTTCCTTTTTCCCTTTCTCGGTTGAGCATGCTCTCGGCTTAAATGAGCTGAAGCTTCCACTGTTCTGCTTTTTAACTTTTTGACCTTTTTTTTTTAAACCCAAATATTACACTTTTATCCTTCAAGTTTTTATTTCATGATTCTCTTTGTTATGTGCATCCACTTGTCAATCAAAAAGTTAACTCATGAGATAACCCTAAAATTCCTAGAGATGAGGATCTCGAAATCTTGGAAATCTATTTCCAGTTGAAACTCCCATTGAAGAATTACGGATTAGTATCGAGACACAGCTTTCTCGAAGACATGTCCTCATGTCAAATTGGCATGTTGCCCGATGAGTTCTTCGATAAAATGGAGGAGGGAAGCATCCTAATCAAGAGGTCGCAGAGCTTTTTGCTTCTGCAAGGAAGGTCTGATAGTCGGCGGAGAAGACAAACCGATCTCAAGCGATCTCACGATCCTTGCCATCGGATATAAAGGCGATCAGAAGCTCAAGAACATTTTCATATCTTCAATCTTCCAAAAGTACCTCGTCTCTTGACCAAGTTCAACCATCCTCTTTACAGGTACCATTTCATGCTTGCAGTTGCAGCACCATGTAGCATCAATTTCTACTAAAAAACCTTGATATTCAAAATGCATATCTTATTGTCCAAGTGAGGATTAACTATTAAGAACCAACAATAAGATTTTATCCAACTCCGAGACGGCATTGCAGCATTTGGCTAACCTTAAGGTCTCTTGTGTATCATTACAACATTTAGATGTGGTACTAATTTCAGGGTATTCAAAATGTAGTTTTTTTCCCATAGGATGTTGTAATGATGCTGCGCTCGATCCCAGTTTGTTGTAACGGTCTTATTTACGGACTTCAGGCAGGTGATTCATCCTCGAATTCCATAGCTCGCAGTTATTGGATATACGGAGGGCCTTCCAAACCTGCCGTCCTTCCAATGGCTCGTGCACCTCCTCAACAAGAACATCAAGCTACTGAGCATCGGAATAATGGAAAAGGATGCAGCCAGGTGGTAAATTCACATGAAGCGATACGGCGGGAGGAACTCCTGGAGATCATGCATTGGAACCACCAACATTTGGTACAATGACCAACTGTGCAAGGACATGAACTGCAATCCTAGAAGAAAGAAGGGGTTTTTGGCCTAATTCCAACCTTATGGACCAACTGATTATGCTGGCCTCGCTGATCAGAAACACTGAACAACAAACATGATCCTTCTTATGATCAGTGATGAATTCGACATTTTGCTTGTAATAATTTATATTACAGAATAGGGAATTGGTTCACGATATGGTCATATGCTTGGATTGTTCAGCAAAAGTCTACAAGATTCAAGTCATATGAATGCAAAAATAAGTGCGATTTTCTGGCATTTCGAATGTAACTTCTTGGGACAACCCACCCCTCAAACCATGCTCTCCAGATTGAGGGTGATAAAGACATATTTTCATATGCTGATTTGAAATAAGCCCATTATCAATGTCTTCTTGTGCTCTTGCTGGAATCCTTAATTCAACAAGAATCTGAGTCTACCCATCATGCTTCTCTATCACCGCCGAGTGATTGCAGAGAATCCAAAGAGAAAATGCGGACTGTAATGTAGAGAAAGATGCCCACAACTCATAAAGAAAAATATAATATTAACTAAAGATGTAACAATTGAGTAGACCGATCGAACATCGCCGCTGAAAATAGCCATTGATCAAATTGTAAAAATCAAGGACCAAATCACATGCAATTTAATTGACTCAAGATGACTCTTTTTGTCATCTTTCCTATTTTGGGGAATACAAGGAAGATGCAAAGGTACGACTTTTGTGATATTCCAGCAAAATTTGGAAGGAGCCCCCCAAGGTGCTTCGTTTGAGCCTGCATTGCCACATGCCATACACTCGAGAACACACAAACATCACCCAACTGCCAAACTACGGTAAAGAAGAACTCATGCACAAAAAGCTCAGATCACAAAACAGAGAGGCCACGCTCTGCAACGATCTTGATGACCATGGCTTCGTCTTCAATGCACCAACTATCTTTCGCCAAACACCCTCTTCTTCCTCGTAATTTCCGGCTGCAACCTTGTCCCCAGTTCTCGTTCGCACACTTCCCTTCGTTCAGTGTCCGAGCCAGCTCTGCTCTTGCTGCTGAGCCGGTACACTTTACGCCTTTTTTTTTGTCTCTGTTTTTCTGCTGTTGCCCGTCTATTATGGAGTTCATGCTAAACAGTATTTTTTAGGCTGTTGATATACTGTAACTATGGGTCCGTTTGTTTCGTACAAAACTCTCGATGAAAAACTTTTTCCTTAATGGTCGCTTATATCACTTAAAAGAATGTATGACTCGAAAAATATTTCATCATTCACAAAAAAGTTTAGGTATAAATTATTATTAATTATTCCAAGCGATATAACCAATCATTTTTAGGAAAATATTTTTCAAATGGTTCATTTTTCGTGAAACAAATGGACCTTATGTATGCTATAGTGTTGTCTTATTGTAATTCTTGTGTTCTTATTCCACAAAAAAGGAGTAAACTGTAAAGAGAATGACATGACGAACTGTCAAGAGCAACCCCAGAGCCAGACGCCTAAAAAGTAAAAATTCGATTGAGCCTTACTTGCTGAATTTTTGCAGCATTTTTCTATTTGTGTGTTTCCCGTGGCATATTCTTCAAGGTAGTCAATCTGATTTTGTGATGTGGTGACTTTCTGATTGTATTAGTCTTCATAGTCCACAACGAGTGTGATTTGACGATAACCCATCGCGATTTATCGCTTCACTAAAGTTATACTATGTAAACGCAAATGTTTGGAATTTAAAAGAGCTGCAACTTCAACTTAGAAAGACGGGATTGTTTACTGCCTCTTGAATTGGTGAGCCAACTAGTAAGTCAAATTTATTTTCCGTGTTTCGGGTTTGAGGGTTGAGTGGCAAGTAGAGACATTTCTGTAGTGTAGCAATTTAGTTTATGATGCATTTGGGAATGATAACTGTAATGGAGCCATCCAAAGAAGTTTTTTTCATTTTAATGGATCTGCTGCAGGTGAACCGTCTTAGTGCTGGATCTCTAGTCAGTTAATGATAGATCTTTTTCCTTTAGTAATGTGCCTGACAAACTGAACTCTTTTGAAATGTCATTTTTTGGGATATATGCCGGCGCCGACATACTTGCGTGCCAGCTTCTTTCTTTCTTTCTTTCTTTTATATGCTTGTGAGTAAATCAGAATTCTCATTTCTCAGTACTTGGGAACTCAGAAAGATCAAACTTTGGAGGCTGAGATATTTTCATGCCCAATATGCTATGAACCCTTGATAAGAAGAGGCCCATCTGGTCTAAACTTGTAAGTTCTAGCACTCATTTTCTGATTTAGGCAACTGATTCTGCATTAATGCTTTGATGGGATTAGTTCTGACTCATAACTTCAAAATGTTTAGGGAAGCTGTGTATAGGTCTGGTTTTAAGTGTAATAAGTGCAATAAGTCATATTACAGAAAAGACAACTTTCTAGACCTGACCGTTACTGCTGGTTCAAGGGAATACATCGAAGTGAAGCCAGCACGGACAGAACTATTCAGGTATCATTAACTGTGGCTACGACCAGGCCGCTTCAACTTGAGTTATGGAATTATCATCATTTATTACCTTTTGCACTAATGGTGAAAAGGTCATCTTCTTCTTTACCTTTTCACCATTACCTTTTTTGCTCTTTAGCTCCATCTCGGACGTCATGTTCAGTTGGTCGGGGTGGAAAGCAGGCGAGGGAGAATTAATCCATACTTCATTTGTTGAACTGTGATAATCGAGTCCTCTCTTCTATAGGCAGCAGGTTGAGATTCCTCTATGGTTTGTGGAAGTTCATATAAGCCAGAAGGGAACTTTGCATATTATAAATTCTATAATGCTTATTAGTTCATTGTGCCATTATTTGAGATGACTTTATACTTTTTAACTACTGAATTGACTGTGTGATGGCAAGGATATTCACATAAGAAATAGGAGATTTCCCTTCCCCAAGGATGGATGTGCTAGCTTCCTTGCACCCACTGAGAAAAATACTTGGTCTTTTTGCAATTTCCTCATTCTCAGATCATACTTTTCTTCTTAATTAACCCACCATATTTAATTGCAAGGACATAATGTATATTCTTGCGCAATTTCTGCACTACTTCGCCTTCTCAAAATTGCCTTAAAGATTCACTGATAAATTTTCTGTGAAGGTTCTGATTTCTCACCTTGCATTCTTGCTTTTGCTAGGAGTCCCCTTGTTTCATTCTTATACGAGAGAGGCTGGCGCCAGAATTTTAACAGTAGGGGCTTTCCTGGTCAAGATGAAGAAGTACAGTTTCTGGCTCATTTTATCCATTAGAATTATTAGCTATGAGAATATGTAGAAGGTCATTTTGAGACTGCACTAGCTGTAGAAATTTTACCATGTAAAATGTGCAAGCAGTGTTCATACATGGGCTATAAAAAAATTTCGGATTCATCCACTAAACCTGTTATGCAGGATCAAGCTAATTCTGATTGTCTAAGCTTATCGTGCTTGCAAGATTTCCATGATAAGCTGCTAAAGGCATAATATATTCTCTGAATGCAGTTCAAAATGGCTCAAGAGTACTTCAAACCTGCACAGGGTGGCCTTCTAGTTGATGTTAGCTGTGGAAGTGGTTTGTTTTCCAGAAAATTCGCTAGATCCGGGACTTATTCTGGAGTAATTGCTCTTGATTATTCTGAAAATATGCTGCGCCAGTGTTATGATTTCATTAAACAGGATGATGCTGTTTTAAAAGCGTAAGTTCTTTCACTCCATAGGAACTTGAAATTATGAAAGCTGTCAAGTAAACTGTTATTCTTGTATGCCTTTGAAATTAATAAATCATAGAGGAGATGGCTTTCATGATGCCCATCATTCTGGGACATATTGCAGGAATCTAGCTCTTGTTAGAGCTGATGTTTCAAGGCTTCCATTCTCATCTGGTTTGGTTGACGCTGTTCATGCTGGGGCAGCACTGCACTGCTGGCCTTCTCCTTCCAATGCTGTACGTTTCCATCTCTCAGTTAATCTAGCTCAGTGTTGTTGACCCTTAGCCGTACTGTCTCATAAGTCGCATGTAAATCCCAGAAATTGACTAGATACTGGAGTTATATGCGGGTGCTTCACAGAATTCAGAATGAGTAAAGGGAATTTCTAGTACTAATGATGACACATACCATCAAATGAATGTTAGGCTCGTAGTTGTATCACATATGGATGTCAAGCCAAGCAGCTTAGCTTAGTATTTTCTATTTTGATTTCCTGAAGATAATTCTGTCTGGGTCATCATTTCCTTCAGTGGGGATTCCTATTAAAACTTGGAAGAGATTTTATCGTTTGCAAATATAGAAGACAGTTATGTAGCCATTATCGCTTTGAATATGGCCAAGCTATTATTACTTTGAATATGGCCTATAGACCGTATCAACCTATTTTTAGTGGTCATACTGGCAAAGTCACTTCGTGGAAGGATGGCCTAGCTTATTATCAATTTAAAATGAAAACTGGCCAGCTGCAATGGCCCTGGACATGTTTATTGCACTACTCACTTTCAACAAAGATTAGCATTGAGTTGCCAACAATTGCCATTATGACAAGGGAATTACGTACCACATATATATGAAAATTGAAGGATTTATAGACAATTACGGCTAGAGGCAACTTCGGACACTATGCTTTGTCTGCCTCCAGAAGGCAGAAGTATGTCAGAAGCATGTGGAATAGGGGATGGGGTGTGCTTGGGGAGTTTGAAATTTTTGTAGCTTTAGATATTTACTAGCATATTTTAGAATCTGGTTTTGAAGGGTTGTGGAATCTGTACCGTTTCAAATAACTTCTTGAAGGTAATTTTAGAAGTTTATAATTTCATACCTGAATGGAAACATAATGATAATCATGGATTTTACACCCAAAAAAAAAAAATGATAATCATGGATCTAGTTTGCAAGATTCTGCAACTCCTCCCTAAAGTGCTCAAAGCAAATTTCATCATGGCTGAATGTGAAAAAGGATGTGGAAAAGAAATTTTGGTGATTCCAGGTCTGACGAGCTTTAGCTGTGGAATATGTTCCTGATATACACACTATTCTTCATCTCCATTAAATAGCTCATAAAAAATTCTCAACCCCTCTGCCATGTATCGGCAGATTGCAGAAATTACTCGAGTATTGAGAAGCGGTGGAGTTTTTGTGGGAACCACTTTCCTCCGGTACAGTTCGACCACTCCCTGGATAATACGGCCTTTCAGACAGGTACATCTGTATGCATACTGCTTGGCACATTAGACCCATTTTTATTCTTGTAATTAACTTCTAAAGCTGTTTGAAATAAGTGAGGGACCTCTTTTGTACACTTTAACCTGCATATATTTCTACTACGCTTGGACCATGAAGAGATGGAAATAAGAAAAATTAATTCACTTACGAATGGATTGTCGTTTCATTAAGGTCTGTCATAGAGGTTTAGATTTTAAACATCCAATGCATGTGTATTGACAAGTAATCCATCTCGTGGACTGGTAGCAAGCCCAGTTTGCTCGGGATATAGTATATACTTCCATCAATGATTACTTGTGTGACTGTTTTCAAGAACCGTTTCCTATTTGCCTTGTAAAATGTAATATCGACTTGAGTTTCAGCAACGAAAACATGGAGCATTCATAAGTAATTCAAATTACTGCAACACCCACATGAGAGATCTATTTCAAATATTCAAAACGTATTCCCTGTGGTAGATGATCTAATGAGCGGATTAGTCTGGATCTCCTTTTTCGTTCACTGTCTTGGCTAGACCATTCTACCGAGGCTGAATCTGACCATCTCCTTTCCGAAGTTGAAATTTCTTGAGCAAATGGTTCTAATCCGTGCACCTATACCTCACACTGAATAACTGCATAGTGCAATTACTGTTTTTTGTGATACGAGTACAGCTTCTGATTGCCACATGCCACGTACTCTTTCAACTTTCTGATGTTTGCTGGACGATCTCGTCCTATGTTAAATTCCCTCATAAAGTGTCTTGTGAAGACGACATGAAACGCACTCAGACAACAATATAGACCGAAAGGCTTTCTTCCTTCATGGTCTTAGCATCTCTGTCTAGGTGGATTTCCACGAAAACTCTTTTTGCGTACAGAGCAATTTCCTGAAGGTTGTCTCAAAGACGAGCTATTATTCTCATAATGCGCGTCGAGCTTGTTTGTGACAATGTTTGGTTGTGTGGCAGAGAAATGCGCGGAATATCAGCTTTCTGACTGCCGAAGAGATCGAGGATTTGTGCACAGCATGTGGCCTAACCAATTACACAAGCAAAATTCAGCAATCCTTCGTCATGTTCTCTGCTCGGAAGCCTTGAAACCAAGTAATGCTTAAAATTAAGATATTATTTGCCCCATGATTAGTTTCGGTGTTTCTTCCTGATCAATAAAGTGGGTCAGTACATGATTTCTGAGAACATATGACATTGTGAGCTTGAGTTCTGGGGAGGTGTTAAGCATTGTATTGTCACCGACTAGAAAGAACTGCATTTTGGTGTCAGAATGATAATATTGTAGGGCCTTCTTTGAGAGCTTCGAGAGGGACCGAAATGACAGTGCAACGGCCAATGCCACGGTCAATTTTGTTGTTAATGATGGTTTGAATCCAATCTTTGATGGTCCCAGATAGTCAAGTTGATAAAAACACTGTGTTAGTCTGTGGGCAAACTGATCCAATTTGTTTGCACTGTCTAGCTGACCAAAACAAACAACTCACGAGAGTTTTCTTCTGTGATTCTTTTCTGAGAAAAGACCAAGTTCTTGGAGCTGCACATAAGGTTAACATGTAGACCAAAGAATTAGGTCGAATTAACTCTTATAATATACCTTATATTTCAAAGGAAAAGAAGGGATTCAAATTATCATAAGAGAAAGGAATTGGAGAGATTAACTAATAATGTTGTTCGGATTCTAGCAAGAGGAAGGAATAAAATGTCATGTTACGACTGTAACTTTAATGTCTTTTTATGTGAGTGTAATGAAAATTACAGTAAGGGTAAAAATGGGGAATGAGAAAAAATTATGTGGTAAAAGCACCAATACCTCCGAATCTCTTCAAACTCTTCCATATTCAGGTTGATTTTTGCAGGGTCTTAAAATGCACATCAAATTAACTACTCCAGATCCCACCTATATATTTACATTTACGTGCAAGTAAGCAATAATGAGTCTACTATGTGTACGAAATCTTGTGATATTCATGGGATTCTCTGCAAGCTTCAATACATACACTCTACACATTTATATATACTGCAATCGATTCTGTTCATAATGTTAATAATTAGTACATGAAAACCACACGAGCATCACTCCAATATCTTTCTTTTGGAGAAAGGGCTCTGCATGTGAGCTAGTTCCTACAATATTAAGTAACACACATGATACATAATTATTTTTGGGTGTGCATGCATACAATAAAGATAGGTGCACGTGGAGGAGGGTTGGAATTATAAATAGAAGGTTTAATATCAAATTAGTACGCCCGTTCACATTTATTGCTAATTAATTTTTGTGCTACAAAAAACCCCATATTGATACATCTGTTTCACATTTACCTTATGTTAGTTTCCGTCAGTTAAATTACTGAACTAGAATGACATGTCGTAATAACTCGGAAAACGTGACAAGTCCACATGAAAATTCAAATTTATCTTTTTTATTATTTTATTCTTAATAAGTTTTATATTTTTAATTTGTACGTCTCCATATAACAAAAAAAAATGTTTTATTTTTTACCCAGAACGGGTCTAGTCTTAATACTCAGCTTCATCTTCTCTTCTTATTCCCATCTAAAGCAATCCCTTTCTTTATTTGTCGTCTTGCTTAATTTCACTCGTCCCTTGCATTCACTCACCCAGGCGCACTCATCACTGCACTCTTTTAATCCTCTGTTGAATTTTCGTGCTCACGTTTGGCACTCTCTTCATTCACAACCTCCCAACTAAGAATTTATTTGTTGTTTCAATTAGCCCTCATTTTTAGAGCAAAAAGAAGTTAGCACTCATTTGAAAAGTCCATGAAAAGAAGAGGTACAAACCAGTTGATTGGGATTTTTTGAGTTCGGCAAATAAGACAAAGAAAGGAACTCTCAGACAAACACCTTGGGATCTTTCGAAACAAGCTGAACGAGTTCAACATACAAACCCGAAAAAGAAATCAAAGACGAGAAGATTACCAAAAATAATAGGACGTGCTCGATGAAGAAGCAGTTAGTCTCCTTCGACCAACTACTTCTCTTTCCCTTGGGGCCCCAAAGTCGATTACTCTTCTAGACATTTATGCCATAGCTGGTTTTCTCCGCAATGGCATACTTATCAAGGAAATCAGTCCTCCTGAACCTATCAATGTTTCTGATAACGTTCTTGCCTACGGTAAGTTTCTTGATAGGTTTTAATGAACATCTGGCCCGACCGCTGCTGATGAGCACATGGCTTTCTTGCTCTTCTGACTTTCCTAGTACGTCCTTTTCAATCCATCACTCAAAGCATCTAGGGACTTCTTGCATATTGCTTCTATCCTTGCAGCAGGTACGCCGATTACCCTGGGTCCATTTATTCTTGCTACATCGTAAAGAGGTTTTACCCGTGCTTCTCTAGGGATGCGGTCCAAAGAAGACGGTACCCTGTTTGGTCCGTTCAGGCTCATTCAATCTTGGATGGCTCTGTGCCTACTGTCTCTTTCCAGTGATGAGCCTCAAGTTTTCCTCATCATGATCAACCAGATTTCCGACCTCGTGTCCCTTACTCTTTTGGGGGTCGACTGCTGAATCGTTCCTCTTTGAATGTGCTTTCCTCGTCCATTTACTATCTCCAGCTGCTTCTGGAAATTGACTCGGAAAACTTTGAATTCTTCCCTTATGATTCCGGTGAGCATTTTTATCTCTACGATTTTTCCTCTCGAGAACAGTCGTTCTACTTCACAATTTGTGTGCTTACTACAGTTGACCTTCCTCTAAGATTACCTAAGAAGGGGAGATTCTATCACTGATTCGAAGTATATTGTCCCAATATTGTGCTAGGCAATTTGGTTTGACGCCCATGCTAATCCCTTATTCTTTTGAATTTCCTTTCATGAACAAGCTCAAATATAAGTCTTTGGAGAATGGCCCTGTCGATTGTTGCTCTGAAATCACCGACACAATACGTGCTCGGCATTTCTCTGACATCGATGCATTTAATCCTAATTTTGGCTGCACTCTTCCTTGCACTACGTGGTGGATCTCTTTTGCTTTCGAGAGTCCTTAAGAAGATGCCATTAAGTCTGCCTTGAGCCGAATAAAATCATGTACTCCTCGCCCTAAATCAAAAGATGTCGATAAAAAGGGGAAGAAAGTCATCGATTCTAAAGATCAAACGGGGGCCTCTGTCCAAATGGAACTGCAGCAAGTTAGCAACCAAAATGATTCTCCTTGACAAGACTCAGACTCGCTGATGGAGTGATGGGTGAAGAAACTGAAGAGATTCAAACACAAACTTACCTTTTTTGGTATATTCTTGTCTTCGACATATACTTCTCTAAAGACTAGGAGTTCTCAATTGGCTGAGCTTTCAAGTTTCTCAAGAAAAGGAGAGAATAGATATCGACATGCCCTTATCCAGGAAGAGAAAGAGAAATTGTTTGGTTTTGTCAGAGAGAAAATCTGAAAATCCTCATGGCCATATGGATTTGGCTCGGCTTCCTCCCTCATCTACTCTTGATATAATTGGGACTTCGGATACTTCGCCTTATCCAGAAGATCGAGCTGCTTCTGTTGATGATTTTTCTACCGGTGATGGCGGTAGTACACCCGTCGGAGTAAGCCACAGTTTCCATCCTTCTTCTCCTTCACATATGTCGCTCGTTCCTGCTCCAACTCCATAGCAGGGAGTAAGTATTTCTCAATACATTGATGATTATTTATTTGACACGATACTGATATGGCTCAGAACCGATCTATAGGTACACCGATTAATACCAATAACCAGAACTCACCAAATGTGCCAGTGGACACGTCTCAGGGACCTTTGTCGACACAACCTGCTCTCTTACTCCTTCCTGCGGTCGGACAAGGTATGTTATCCTTCTTTTCTGATCTTGTCTGGTGTACTCAGTCAAATAAGTCTATCTTTCAATTCCGTTAGGTGTCAATAAGGCTCCATTGCTGACTCCATCGTCTGCTCCGAATCAAGTTGTCGATTTAGGATGCCCTTCTGTTGAACCAAGCAAAGACATTGGTCCTGCTGTCATAGCCACTTATGATCTTCCATCAACTTCTACTCCCACCGAGAACCCATCTGGTGTTCCTCTGCCGTCTCCTTCTTTGGTGCAGCAACCACATCAAGCCAGTGCTGAGGATTCTCCGAGTTCTCTTGTCAAAGCTAGACACATGTTGGAAGAGGCCTGTCAAGTTTTAGCTGTCGATCCTAATGACTTAGCCTCCAGAATTCCAACTTCTCCTGAAACCATCATCTAAAACACAAGAATCAAATTGCTGGAGTTCCTGGATCTCTCGAGCGGTGGCTTTATAATGATCGTAAACAACTGGCTAATCTTGGGCAGGCTCAAAAAAGTCTACTGGGCGAGTTGTGCAAAGATAATATCAGCTCTACCTAGTCTTCTGAACTCAAAGAAAAGTGTCAAGACTTCTCGAATGAGTTTGCTACTAGGGTAGAAACTTATCGACGCAACCATGAACCGATCATCTCCCTGACTATTCCAGAGAAAAGTTACCTAGACTCCGGCCACTATTTGTAACGTTTTTCAATTAAATGCAAAAATTGATTATGGAAAACGGTTCTCTCTTTCTTTTACCTACAAATTGTTACTCCAAACATAATTCAAAAGTGATATAAATATATCAAAATAAGAATATTTTTTTTCCTCTTTATATATCCTTCCTTTCTTTGCTAGGTTATATACGTAATGTTGTACATGTTCATTTTACTATTTTGTGAGGAATAAAGAAAAAGGTTTGTTGTTATAGCCGTTAGAGCCTATCGCACCGAGTTTAATACTCCGAGGGGGGGAATTATCCTCCATAACAATACTTGCACACCTCAGACAATTAAGTTTATTTTCTCAACTCTTCTAACAGATTTTTCATCAATTTCTTATTTTAAATATTATCTAATACTTTTCCAACTGTTCCGAGCTCTCCTGGTCTTCATCGATGTAATTTTCTAAATGTTTCTTTAGTTTCAAAGCCCTCTCGAGAGTCTTCTAAGCTGGGGAGAAAATGATAAATAATGCCCCCTTTTGCGATATCATGAAGCCGAAAGCAATAGGGTTTCTTATTGCTCTTGAAAAGATTAAATTTGCATTTGGGTTTCACGATAAAAGCTTTAGAATGTTAGAAAATGACTTCGCAAGAAGCGACAGTCAATGAGCTAATCCAAACCAGATATTTCTTCTTTTGTCTTTCGTTTTTGGGACAGTTGGCAGATGGGCTTGTTTCGGTTGTGTTTTTTCAGCGCAGATTCTGTG